GAGCCACTCCGCTGTGTTTTCCATGGGTAACCGGATGGTGTACACAAAAAGGATACACAGCTTCTCCACAGGCAGCTCCCTGCTGGGCAGCAGTGGGTCTGCTACACAGACATCCCAGGCAGATGTCCTTGTCCACAAGTTCCTGCAGAACTTGCTCTGTGTTGAGCCAGTGGCAGCTGTCAACCACCCAGACAAATATCTTCCTACCAGGCCCAGAGCACAGCTTGGCCAGCAGCTGCAGCATGGCCATCTCTCCCCAGCCATGATCTACCGTGCTTTGCAATGTCCCCATGGCCTTCTTTCCCTTGGAGCAGTAAGGCAAGCCAAGCTGGGGTGGGCCTGCATGGCACTGCAGGTGAGAAGCAGGGTAGCTGGTGCAAAGTCTAGCTTGGGTAATGATGTGTTTTCCTGGGGAAAAGGTGGCTGGGACCAGCTGGCTCCATCTGGTGATCAGTGGCTAGCTAGAGATGGAAGGGGTTTCCTCTGGAGCAGGGGGGAGAGCTGTGTGGTTTGTGTCCTGTTTGCTGTCCTGCCTTCTGTGCTTACCTAACTACAGTCTGTTATTTTTGGTATGAGAGGTGGATTTGTTCCAAGTGCAACTGGATTCACAGCAGAGACGTTCACCCCTGTGTGGGTATCTTTTTGCTTTATAGATCCACTGAGTGTCTGTTAGCAGTGCACTTAGCTCAGTGATGCAGGCATGGGAAAGTGAGCGACTCCTGTGTCAGAATAAGGCTGTCTTCATGTGAGCTTTCCTCCTCCAGAACATGCTTGGAGCGAGGCTTGGGCTGTCCTGTCTGCCACTAGGTGCCAATAATGTGCTGTAAGCGGGACCAGAAGCTAAACTGCTTCACTGATGGCCACGCTTCTGATTTGTCAGTAAGAAATGATGCGAGTGTGTTTCACTGTGCCAAAAATGATGATTGCTGGGCTCCTGCCTAGCTGTTGCTCACTGTTTTCCAAATCATGGTGTTGGGCAGGGCTTTTGCTGTGGTTCCCATGCTGTCCAGAGCATCCTATCCAGCGTGAAAGTAAAGCGGTGGTAGAGATCAGGCTTTGAGAAACTGAGCTGAGGCTTGCTCCCTTTCCCACCTGGGGGCATAATGAAAAAATGACTGCTGAAAAAATGACTTTGTTGATTGCCCCCTGTCTCCAGACCTTGCCTTTGCCCCCTGCCGGGCTCCCAGCTCTGTGGCCCATCACACAGGAGGCTGCACCATGAGAAGCAATGTAGCAACGGCTTGCCTAAGAGCCTGCTGTAGTAGGTGGCTTATTGTCCCTGGTAGCTCCAGAAAACAGTCTTGCAAATGATAGGACAGGCCTTGCTGTTAACGTTCTGTGCATGGCACTTGACTCCATAAAGGCAAGTGTTCAGTGACTTGGAACTACAGAAGTCTGAAGATACAGCTCTGTTTTTTAAATTTTGTTCATAATATTCAAACTTACCAAACCTTCAGTTTGAGGTGATAATACTAGCATGTTGTAACTGCCCTTGCAGCCAGCAGTTTCACCGTGATCTCAAAATCACAGAATGGGTTGGAAGGGACCTTAAAGCCCCCAGTCCCCCCCCCCGCGGGGGGGGGCCCCCCCCCCCCCCCTTGTCCCCTTCCCACAACCTCAGGCTGCCCAGAGCCCACACAGCCCAGCCTTGGGCTACCACAGCAGATGGGATTTCATGATCCCCTTCCTGCCCTGCTGGCAGTGCTTCTGAAGCAATGCACCAGGCGGCCACTTTCCAGGTTGCAGGCACGCGCTGCTGCTCAAATCCAGTTTTATATCCACCAGTAATGCAGCTGAAGTCAGTCGAAACACACTGTGGAAATGTGTAAGCTTTTATTTCTAAACCCTCAGTAACATTTTTTTCTGTCTTATAAAGTATTTGTACATCCATTGTAGTTCCATGGGGGAATGAAAAAGAAGTTGAGGTCCCTGTTCATTTTTTACTGAATCCACCAATTCTACCTATCCCTGATGTTAATCTATATTTACCTGCTGGCTCTTTGGTCTGCATTAGAAATCTGGAAGCAGAGCAGAGCCCACCTCTGCCCTGGCAGAATTACCAGAGGGATTATTTTTTCTGCTTACATGGGTGCAGCATGTTCCTGGCACTTGGCTGGCTCCTCATCCTGTTGGCCAGGCACTAGCAGCTGCTGAAGGGCTGTAGCTGGGGCTGGGCTAGTCCCTGACAGCCCAACAGCATTAAGTGACCTCCAAATTTCTCCTTTTGCAATCACTGCTTTGGGGCAGTGGAAAGGTTGGAACTCCAGCCCTCTCCTGGCTGCCCCAGGGATGCATTCAGCCCCATCCCACTCACCTCGCCCCTTCCCCTGGTGAGGTCAGAGGTGGCACAGGGGCTACAAAACAAAATTTGTTTGTCATGTGCTGGAAATACGTCCTTATTTCTTTATTCCTCCCCCAAAAAGCAGTGTCAATGCAGCTGAACGTGTGTCCCAGTGGGTGATGTGTGATGCTGTGATGCAGCAGCTGTCAAGCAGGTGTGAGGTGTGCTGGGGAGGTGGGGGAAGGCAGAAATCCAGCTCCTCTATTTTTGCAGAAGTAGAAATCTGCATGTACGTGGGCCTCAGATGTGTGTGCAGAAGTGCAGGTCAGTGCCCAGCATCTTCTGTACCTAATGCTGATTGACACACATGCTCTGGGTTGCAGTGAAGTGGTTCCTCTTTTACTGGTGATGCGTGGGGAGTTGTGAGGGTGCTGAGCAGGAGCAGAAGGGTTAGGGGGTCCGGAAGTCCTTCACACGTGAAGGGGGGATGCCCTGGTCCATGAGGTGGGAGGGCACCATGTTGTACTTGGTGTTGGGGTTGATACACATGGCCACGAAGGACATGTGGCAGGCAATGGCCTCCAGCACTGCCACCATCAGCTCCCACCCCAGGAACTGAGCCACCTTGATGGGCTCCCAGTGGGGAGCCTGGGGCATGGGCCTGTGCTCAGCCCTGGCTCCACCATCAGCTCCAGCCCCTCACTTCCTTCGTGTCCTCGTAGGAGATGCTCCTCCAGTGCTCTGGGGTGCCACTCATACGGTCAAACTGGGAGCTGTAGGCTCCCCATGGGGAGAGCAGTCATGAACATCAGCAGGTGGGAGGGCACTGTCAGGTTTTCCATGTGCACCCATAAGTGCCCTCCTGCTTCTGCCAGCTATGGACTCCTCCAGGAACTGTTTCCACGTCCATGGGTGGCATGATCCTGCAAGGCAGTGACCCCAGGACGTGCGAGTGGGATGCCATTATCAACCACATGCCATGTTAGAATTTTCTGCCCCTGGGCTGATGCTGCCAGGCAGCAGAGTGGGGCACTGGTCGCCCCCTGGTTGGAGGAGCCAAGTTGGCCAGAAAGGGTGGGGGCAGGTTGGTATTTTGGGCTGCTAGTAGTGGGAGCACTTTTGGTAGACACCAAGCAGCTGGCAGGCATGCTGTGCCCTTGTATCATGAAGACCTGTATCTCAGCTGCCATCCTACCCAGTTCATCTTGGGGCAAGGGCAGCACAGCTATGGATTGGAGGAGCTGTAACAGGAGGGACCTAGCAGAGATACAGGGATGACCAGAACCTTGCAAGCCATGGTGTACCACTAACATGGTCCCTCTGCAGATGATCTATGTATGGCACAACCCTAAAGTCACAGCCATCTCCTATTACAAGTTTGGGTTGATGAAATAGCTGCTGCCTGAGCTAATGGCAGCTGTCAGTTTGATCTAACAAAGCTCTGGGCAGGCTCATTTCCTATCAAATTAGTAAGTGCTGAGACTTCTGAGGAGATGAGGGCAGTTTTGCCCTAGTCTTTTACAGAAAAACTCAAATTTAGTGTATAAACTCAGATCAAATAAATTATAGTGATGAATTTTTAACAGAAAAAGCTTTCTAGTAAACTTGAAGTGTTTGATTTCTGTGATGCAAGATGTCGTATTTATTTAAAAACAAACAAGCAACAACAACAACAAACTTCTCCAGGAATACTCAGTCTTTTATTTCAAGGTAGCCCAGGCTTATAAAACTTAGCTGCATGGTCTTGCACTGAGCTCTTAAACTGCGTCACAAAGATGGTGCTCAGAGCTGTGCTATATTTGTGTATGTGAATAACAAGTGATGTACAAGCAATTGCTTTCCACCTGTTGATCAGTGCCCAGCCTGTCCGCTGGCTGCACCCCCCCCAGACTCAGGGGTTTTTCAGCTTTCCTTTCTGCAGAATGTCACATGGAATGAAATATCCTTTTGGCCAGTTTAGGTCGTCTGTTCTGGTTCTGTCCCCTCCCAGCTCCTTTTGTCCCCTCATCCCCTTCACTGGCTGGACAGTGCAAGAAGTAGAGAAACCGAACTGTCTTTGGCTCCATACAGCTGCTACAGCACAGCAACAACTAGAAACATTGGTCTGCAGAAGAAATGTGAAAGCACTTGGGCTATCAGTATTGTTTTTCTCCTAAAACCAAGATACAGTGTCATGCCAGTCATTATGAAGAAAAGCAGCTCAGAGCCAGCTGAAACTAAGACACTTATGCTTTGAAATGAGCATCTGATGCCTCATCCTATTTGGGTGGGAGTATAGGTGAGGTGTAAAGCTGTTGGGACTCAATGTGCAACATTCTGGGCAAGTTTTCTTTAAGAATCTAAATATCACTTTGAGAGAACTTGAAGACGTGTTGGGATTGGTCACACTGAAATGATTACGTGGACATTGCAAATGAGTTAAGCGTGTTAACTGCAAAATATTTGATCTAGACATTATATGTAGTTTAAGAATTAGAAATGGAGCTTCGTTTCGTGCTTTGTTTAAGGATGTGACTTGAAATCATTCATTCCCACTGAATCGGCGGCCACTAAGAGTTCAGTACTGCTTTGGCAGCCTAGCACCAAAGCAGCAATGCCGTGTAATAAATGTTTACGTACCACCAAGCCTACAAACATTTGATTGCTTACATGACAGAGGTTTTCTTGTCCAGTTATTTGTCTCAATTTTTCCATTACATTTTCTCATTTTGTTTTCTAGCTTTACTCACAGACAAGCCTCCAAAGCCATTGTTCCCCATGGAGAATCAGCCAACTGTTATAGATGTCCAGCTGGGTAAGTCCCCTTCTGGGAATAATAGATCCTACGCTTCCACTCTGGTAGCAGATAGGGGAAATTGAAAGTGCTAAGAAAGGTTTAGCGGTGCTGTTATTACATGCAAATCAATTTGCAGCTTCTCATTTATAACTGTAGACTTCACTGCCATTGCAATTTGAAGGAATGAACTTGTGTAACATCAGGGAATGGCAGTACTAATTGGTTACACAGGGTACTAAATGTGAAGTTCTGCTGTTCTCTTTAATGTATGATTGATAGGCTAACATATGTCTACACTGGAGTCGTATTGATCAGCTGATGTTCTCCCTAAGACAAATAGTCTCATAAAAGAAATGCTGATTCCTCTAAAAGTTAATGGAAAACAGTGCATTTTCAGGTTGTTCTGAAGAAGGGACTTTTGACAAAGATGCTTGTATGCTTTTCTCACTCCTGTTGTATTTTCTTGTGTGATTGCATATCCTTGACTCTCAGCTGGCAGCCTGTATTTTCTCTTGTGTTGAAAGACTGTAAGAAAGTTCTGCAAACTTTGGGGAACTCAAGGTATCTTGTTGCTGAGTTGCTTGGCTTTGAAGCTTCAGAGTTTTTTTTTAATGTCCTGAACACAGATTTCTAATTTTAAGCAGCATAAGTGGAGTTGCTATTGAGGGCTGTGGTACCATGAATTTGAACTACAAGAGATGTTCTGTAGGCATGGGTTATTCACTGCATGCTGAAGGTGCAGTGTTTTCCTTCCTCTAAAGCTTGATTCTCTTCCTCTGTTACACCAAAAATTGGTTAGGATTCAATGGTGGAATGGTGCTTAAAGGCAAGCAGGGTCAGAATGGAACGTGTAAGGTGGCTGGTAAGTGTGGTAAAGCCTTTTGTCTGGTTTTCTGACATCAGTTTTTTTAAGCTAGGTGCCTAACATTTTCAGCATAACACTGGAGACGCCATGGAATATTTAAGAACAAGGCTGGACTTCCTGAAGGTGATGGTTGAATTGCGGCAAGAGTGTGAATAATTTGTGCCCTTTCCTAAACTTACTCTCACATACCTGAATGGGCTTGGGAGGCAGGCAGGACTTGCACAAGGAAGGTAGCAGTGGATCTGGGCTGCAGCCAGTGCCTGCTGGCTGAGTGCTGCACGCTCAGGTGCCCTTCCTCAGGACTTGTGTGTAGCTGAGCACAAAGTGACCCTAAAATGAGGAGATACTACATGGTGGGTCTGAGGCCACAGTCAGAAACTCACCAAAACTAACAGCAGAGCAGTCATCAAGGTTTGGATCAGCCCCAAAGGCTGAATATGGTCCCCAGGTGCAGCTTCTTTAAAGTCAGCTTGCTAATGATTTCCCCTGGGAGCACGCTGTCCCTGCATGCAGCTGTGTGATAGAGGCACTCCGAGCGCACGTCTTTGCTTCCTGCACTTTCATTGCATCTTCATTTCCTGCTCCAAGTTTCATCAGGACTCTGTTGATTTTGTACCGAGTTTCTTCTTTCTTCCTACGTGAAAACATTTTGTTCTGACTGATTAAAAAGGGTTTGATTAAAATAAGTAAGATGGAAACAAACAAAACCCTTTCTCTCCTTGGAGATATGGCTCCAAAACAGGATTTGGCAATATCTCCAGAGCGAAATATAAATCTTGCATCATTATGTGCTGAAATGTATTCCATTAGTTGTCCTCTAAGATCAGGGAATTTACATATGCTGCTTTTATTCTGACAGGATAATGCATTTGGTTATTGCCAGTAAACCATATTATGCTGCAAAAGTTTAATGTTTGTGGAAGAACCTGAAATGATTTCTGTGATATACCGTGAAATTCACCGTATGCCCCTGATTTTAAATGGCCGATAGATGGAGCTGGAAGGTTCTCAGCGAACACTTCAGCTTGTGGGTGGCCCTGGAGCCACGCTGACCTCTGCTGTGTGCTGCTGCCCCACTCCGAGCGCCGGGCTTTGTAGGAAAGAGAATCATTTGGCTGCAGTAAAGTAACAGGATGGAGTTCTCTGTAAGATCATCTGCTGGCATACTCTTTTGAAACCCTGCTAAGCTTCTTGGAGTTTCGAACAAGTGTTGTTCTTGTGGGCTGCATTCGGCATGAAAACAAAGTTTGTTTGAAAGGATGTGTGTTTCAGAGGGCCTGCAGACCTCGGGGTTGCGGCACCCAATGTGCTTGCTCTACCCGAGGTCCTGCAAGTACGAATACACCTCTAAACTACAACAGAAATGGAGTTTAATTCATCTGCTTGCTCTGCAGAGATTATTTTAGATTTCTATTGGAAAGCTAATCTCTAAAGAAATGGCTGTCTTTGCCTTATGAGATTTATAGTTATTGTAGCATTATTCTAAACGATGAGCGCAATGCCACACAGAATCTTCCTAGAACTCAGAACAGCAGCCTGACTATTCAGCAGCTTATTTGACCTGATTGCAGACTTCAGAACTCACCTTTTGGCTTTCACATTTTGTAAGAAGATTCAAATGGAACTAGTTATACGCAATTCTTATCAACAGTGGATAAAAGAATTTCTTTGGGCTTCAAACGTGCCCCAGAGCCTGCCTCGTTCTTCTTAAGAAGCATGCATGTACTTCTTGCTTGTTCCTTTTTCCTTTGGAATTTGACAAAGATCAAAACCTTGTCAAGGTTATAGAGAAGCAGAAGCTAGCGTTTGTGTGTGTCTTGTTTTCTGTACTTGCTTGCATTGGAGAAATGGGGAGAGAAGAGAGATGAACACAAAAGAGAATCCCAGAGGACCAGAGAAAGAGTCCAAAACAATTTCACTGTCTTGGATGTGTGAGCAGGTTAGATAATTACCTAACTCTGGGCAAACCTAGAAAATAACAACTGTTTATTTGTTTATTGTTCATTTGTTACATACAAGAAGGGGGAATCAAACAATACCACTGAATTGTTTGTTTTATAGCTTCTGGCAATGGGATGGTAGTGTAGCAATAGTACTTTATTGCACGATAATACAGCAGGTTGAATCTTGTATCTTGAATGAATGCTTTTTCAAATATGAGGTTAATCTAATATAATATCATCTGCTTCATGAGAAGGACATTCCCTCTCTACAACTGCCCAGGGAGGTGCTGGAGTCACTGTCACTGGAGGTGTTCAAGAACCACGGAGCTGTGGTACTTGAGGACATTGTTTACAGGGTGGTATTGGTGGTAGGTGGACGATTGGACTAAATGATCATAGCTGTCTTTTCCAACCTTAATAATGATTCTGTGATTCTATATTCCTGAGTTACTTCCGTAGATCAAAAACTAATGTGATTATCTGAGGCAGGAAATAGTGTGACTTCAACAGAAGGCTCTGGAGACAGCATTGTGTAAGTTTTGGGGTTTTTTTTGCCATAAATCCTTACTTTTCTGTTTTCAGAATGTGACTGTCTCCTTTGGTCTGAATTTGAACTTAGTAATGCTTATGTCAGTGTGATTCAAAGTAGTTGTTCTAAGACTTATTTTTGTATTTATTCTGTTGCTTTGGCCATATAAAGCTAACTACGTGCATGGATTGTTCGTACTAAATCAGAGAGGCTAGGGAAACCCTGGTACGACTGGGATTTTGATCTTTTCTATATCAGAAGTCTTCAGGCTGTGGTACAGTAAGTACACTCTGCTAATTTCTTAATTTAAATTTTAAACTCATTTCTGGCTAACTTTGTTCCCCCTTAGTACTTTGTGAATGTGGAAAGAAAGATGAGCAGCCCTTTGATTTTGATTACATGGTTACTAGCTACAAACTAAGGCTTTCTGTTGTGTTAATTCTATAATGTTACACAGTGATTGTAATGTGAAGTTGGTCTTTCCTTGTGAATATCTAGTGAGATCTAGGTGAGACTGCAATGAATGTTCATGTCTGTATTTAGCGTGGTTGTATCATCTACTTTTAAATTGGGAACTGGCTTGGTTTTCAGACCTTTACTTAAGAAGCGTAGTGGAAGAAAGCAAACCAACAAACATCTATGTTAATTTTCTGAACAAGGAAAATATCCGGGGATTTACCTCACTGACTTCATGGTATTTGCTGTGTCTAAAGATGCTGAGGGAAGCAGACATGCATTTTATGAGGATTCTCATTTTTCCTGATAGCTGACCTGTTTTGTTTCTAAAAGATTTAACAGTGCAATTCCTTGGGACTAGTTATTAAGAAGATCAATAGTACGAGTGTGAACCAAGCATGAGGGAACATGCAGAGTTACTGTATCTGCTGGCAGGTATGGAAGAGAATAAAAATAGTATATAAAAAAAAATAATAGTGGATGGTCCTTTTTGTATGAAGCGCTGGCTCCGTGCTCTTCTGGTGAGACTGGAGCTCTTGCCACTGTCTGAAATGGTGGGGCAGCCCAGGTGCAGCTGCAAGGTGTTCTTGGCCCCAGTGGAGTGAGGATGGGCACAGGAGCATGCCAGGCTGCCAGGTCTGCTGCTTAAGTGCATGGAGCTGCTGCAGGTACTTCTTCTGAGAGCTTGTAACTGCATCAGGCTTGGAAGGATTTTCTTGGGAATGGAAAAGGCATTTGTCTGATCTTCAAATTGAACATCACTTAGATGGCAACAATATGGGCGATATAGCATTCTTTCCTCATTTACTTCACCTATTCTGTAAGGAAAGAAGCTTTGAGGTGTTAGATGTAGGTCACTCCCCCTTCATGTCTTCCCAGCTTAAAAAAGGTCTTATTAAGGTAACTGACTTCTTCTCGCCTTTGATTTCTTGAGATACATCAATCAATACAAAATCATAACCATATGAAACCAGAGCCTCGACATGAGATACAGCAAACATGTAGGCAATATCTCTTCTAGTGGGAAATAAAGTAGCAATCAGCAATTCTGCTGTAGCTGTTTAAATCAGCCTCTCAAGATATGACTCCTTTTCCTGTCAGAACAGCCTACAAATATTAGTGCTGTATATAGTCTGTAAATATTACTATCAGTAATGGTGCTGTACATGGTGTACTGGGCTGTGTTTTCTGTCCAAGTGGTTACATCATGTACATTAGGTGCCCT